CCCCCCCCCCCCCCGCCATATTCACCTTTTTAAGTGAGAATATTTAAGTTCTACTTTCCTAGCAAGTTTCATTTATACAATACAGTATTATCAACTATAGTCACCATGTTACACATTAGATTCTCACACTTTCTTCATCTTACAACTAAAAATTTGTACCCTTGGGGCACCTGAGTGGCTCAGTCAGTTAAGCATCTGACTTCAGCTCAGGTCATGATCTCAGGGTTCATGGGTTTGAGTCCTGAGTTGGGCTCTGTGCTGACAGCTCAGAGCCTGGAGCCTGCTTTAGATTCTGTGTCTCCCTCTCTCTCTGCTCCTCCCCCACTCACACTATCTCTCTCTCTCTCTCTTTCAAAAATATACAAGCACTTTCTACTCTGTTTCTATGAGCTCAACTTTGTTTTGTTTTTAAATAAAGGGTTGTTTTAAGCTTCTGAGTTTTAGATTCTTTGGGTTTTTTTTTTAATTTATTTCTTCACACTCAAAGTATTTTATTTTTGTTTTTGTACTTTACAGAAACTTTATTTTCAAATAGGATACATGATGCAGATAAAAACTTAAATACAAATATTTAGGTAGCATTAAGTACCCTACCTGTTCTAATCTTCATTTGTTATCAATCATTAATTAATCTAATCCTTGCTATTTTACCAAAATTCAACAGAAAAATAATCAAGCTCACCTTCACAGGAAAGAACTCGTTTACTTTTCCAGTGTTTCCCGCTTTCTTTTCCTTTCCTTACCTAGAAGAATGATAGAGAGAAAAAAATTCATATCACAGTGTGATGCTGCTGGTATGAATAAAAAACCTTTCACAGCCATCAGCAGTTTCCCTGCTGGCCAGCTTCTAAGTCTCTCCTACTCCCCACTGAGTGGTTTACTAAATAGCAATAGATAAAATAATCAACATTTTCATTTATTTTAAATAAACTTTCACATTATGTCAATGTTAGGGCAATTCCAAATTAAGTAATGTACCACAGTCAGGTACTCTAACTAGCTGAAGTGTTTCACTTGTCTGTATGTTTTTGCTATTTTTTCCTACTTTGTTAAAATCATATAAATTTTCCCTTTTGTCACTATAAATGGATTCAATAATCTTCTGAAGAGTTCTTCTAGTTCCTTTATCTTTAAAAAAATTTTTTTTAATGTTTATTTATTTTTGAGAGAGAGAGAGAGACAGAGAGAAAGAGAGCATGAGCAGGGGAGGGGCAGAGAGAGAGAGAGAGAGAGAAGAAGACACAGAATCTGAAGCAGGCTCAAGGCTCCGAGCTGCCAGCACAGAGCACGACTTGGGGCTCAAACCCACAAACTGTGAGATCATGAACTGAGCTGAAGTCGGATACTTAATCTACTGGGCCACCCAGGCGCTCCTCTTCTAGTTGTTGAAAATGGGATTCGTATCTGCCTAGACACAGCAGGGTCCACATCGTCCCTATCCCTCACCAGGGAGAGGCCCTCGGAATCACAAAGTACAAATAATAGCTGACTGCTTAAATGCTCCTGGTATGATACACACCAGGTACCATGAGACTGTTCCCTCAACCCTTCCTCTTCCAGAAGGGACTGGTAAAGGAAAGTTGTCAAGCATGGAGGAGACCAGGTGTTTGAAGGTTTACTGGTTAGATATCAGAGACTTCTGACTTCTGGGTTTGGGGAAACCTTGGGTCAAAGCATTTTCTTTTCTTTCCACTTTTTCCTAGTCTGCTTTTCCTTCCTTGTTGCCTTCTACTTGGAAGATGACTCTAACCCTGAAAAACTAAGAGGAGCTCTGGGCAGGACAAAAGAAAAGGAAGCAAGATTATTTACCCCGAGATTTGGAAAGAAGCAAAGAGGACCTCCAAGTTTCCTTCTAGGTGGCCCATTCCTCTGAAGGCCCCAGGAGGGGGAGGGGTTTCAGGGCACAAGTTATTTCTATAAGATTTTGGAGTTGACAGAAGCACTAACTCACTTCCTCCCTCTTTCTACTCGGGAAAGGTATGGGGACAGAGTAGTAGTGGTGTTGACAGTGACTGGGGATATGGTGATCTGTTTGTTTGGCCAGTGAGGAAGGCAGTGGAGGAGGTCAAAGGAGGCTGAGGATCAAGTGACCTAGAACCACTGTGGGTTTTTGTGGGCTATCCGGCAGTAACTGCCATTGTTTACAACACCGTTTCTACAGGGAAATTATTTTGTCGGCTGCACAGCTGATCTACAAATGAATCTGAAAAGGACATTTATAAAGGGAGTATTTTGCTTCTATCAGCAACTAACCACCAGAGGGCATAGTTGGGTTAGGAAGAAAAAGATCTAATACTAAAACTGCTCTAAGCAGGAGAATGGACTCTTAAACTTTTACAATTCCTGTGGACCTTCAAAATTAAATTATTTTTTGTTGTTATGCTTCTTTAATATGTACTACATAAATACAGGTGTAAGAAAGCTCCTTATGCTCTTATTAAGTCAACACAAATTTATTTATTTATTTATTTATTTATTTATTTATTTATTAATGTTTATTTTTGAGAGAGAGAAACAGAGCACAAGCAGGGGAGGGGCAGAGACAGAGGGAGACACAGAATCTGAAGCAGGCTCCAGGCTCTTAGCTGTCAGCAAAAAGCCCGACGTGGGGCTCAAACTCACGAACGGCAAGATCATGACCTGAGCAGAGGTTGGACACTTAACCAACACAAATTTAGGATTGAAACGTTTATAAAATTAAATACAAATTAACATTTTTAATGTAACGTATGACATTTTGCTGAAACTCCATCTCCTCTTGCAAAATGAATATGGTACAATATATAACATAGGCTCTTGAGTTCAGTATCCTGCTATCACACTTTTCTCTTTCAGAACTACTACATGTCTTTTTTTTACAGGCCATGCTGTCCCCTGACTTGGCTTGGCTTGAACATTTCCCTATCTGGAAGTGAAGTCTGATTCTGTTCTCTTTTTGACCAGGGACAATTAAAATTTTCCCACTCGGGACAAACAATGGATTAGCATAAACAATGCCAACACAGCCATGTCACTGAAATGAAAACAAAACTTCAAACTCTCTGAGAAACCCCATAGACTTTCAAGTTGAAAACTAGTCCCCTCCCCTGGGAAGAAAAAAAAAAAAAACCAAAAACCAGTCCCCAGTTTGAAAGGATCTGTTATAGATAAGAGGCTCGGTGGTTTATGCCTTTTTCTTCCCAGTACCCCTGTTTCATTTATAAAAGTGTCTTATTTGGATAATAAAGTGTAACATTAAAAAACCTGCTTATAAGCTAGTGCTGTCATGGAGTTTTAAGATCAGCAAAGACCTGTGCCTTAGCAGTAGGAATTAGGAAAGAAAACACTTGTTAAAGCCATATACAGAAGTTTCATAGGCTTCTCCCAGAGGCTTATTTAGCCCAATATGAGTGAAGCTTTGAGGGTTAAATCAAACTTTAGACATGTTCTGATCTCCTTTTGTGACTCAGAGGTCTCAGGAGTTCCCCCTGCTTCCCACTCTCCCAAAACACCACCTTAAAATTTAAGCAGGCTATAAGAAAGGAAATAAAGGATTTCATCACACTTAGGATCCTCTGATATCTGAGAGCATATAAGGTCATTTTAGGGTAGGAGGAGTGAAACTTCTGAAAGAGTCACATTTACTCAGAAAAGCTGGAAGATAGGACAGGAGTTTTGTAACCGTATGACATAATTTGGCTAACATTGTGCATTGGGTTTGCTATACAAAATGATTTCTCACTGCCAAGTCTCAAGACCAAATTCAGTTGCCAACGTGACTTCAGATGGTTCAGTATTAACAATAATGAAAAAATGCCAGGAGTGCCTGGGTGGCTCAGTTGGTTAAGTGTCTGACTCTTGACTTCAGCTCAGGTCTCAATCTCAGGGGCGTGAGTTCAAATCCCATGCTGGGTTCTGTGCTGGGCGTGAAGCCTACAAAGGAAGGAAGGGAGGAAGGAAGAGAGGGAGGAAGTGACAGAGGAAGGGAGGGAGGGAGGAAGAAAGGAAGAAAGAAATGCCACAAAATAGTGAATTTTAAGGAGACCAAGAAACACTTCTCTAAAACATAAAGTATGCTGAGTGTGTGTGTGTGTGTGTGTGTGTGTGTGTGTGTGTGGTGGACCAGATCCAAGAACCAAAATGGTCCACAAACTGAAATTTGCTGAGATTGTTCTGTTGAAGCAACGCTGATGAGAGCATCCTGGCAAGCTGGAGTCCTCATGCCTTCAGAACATGACTATCACCGGCATTATTTCATACTTAATCAAGCCCCAACTGGGGCAACTTGTCATAATGGACAGGATGGGGAGAGAGGGGAAAAAAGCACCATCTGTCTCTGGCATATGTGCCACGGGCATTCAATGTGGAGGAAATGTCTTAAGTGGTCTGTCAGAAGGTTTAGGAGGTTCCCTTTGATTTTCAAGGATCTTGCCCCAGAGAGAAATAAACTCAATTCAATAAGCATCTTTTCTGGGTTAGTTGGGTACTTAGAGCATACAAAAATAAACAAAACTAAGTCCCTGTTCTAACAAGCTAAGTTTTCTAAGCTAAATTATTTGAATATAATCTTCAAAATTTTTGCCATATCATCTATATTTTTATTTACTCAATAATTTTCTACTATCTCTACCTACTTTAGCCATGTCCTAAAGGATATCTGGGAAATCACAGAGTTGGTGATCTAGATATATATTTTTAAACACTAGTATGTACATACATTTCTTTTTTTTATTTTTTTATTTATTTTTTATTTTTTTAAAAAATTTTTTTTTTCAACGTTTATTTATTTTTGGGACAGAGAGAGACAGAGCATGAACAGGGGAGGGGCAGAGAGACAGGGAGACACAGAATCGGAAACAGGCTCCAGGCTCTGAGCCATCAGCCCAGAGCCCGACGCGGGGCTCGAACTCACGGACCGCGAGATCGTGACCTGGCTGAAGTCGGACGCTTAACCGACTGCGCCACCCAGGCGCCCCCATTTTTACTTTTTAAGAGAGAGAGAGTGAGTGCAAGCAGGGGAGGGGCAGAGGGAGAGGAAGGGAGAGAATCCTGAGCAGGCTCTGTGCCCAACACAGAGCCCCACACAGGGTTCGATCCCGTGACCGTGAGATCATGACCTGAGCTGAAATCAAGAGTCAGACACTCAACTGACTGAGCCACCCAGGTGCCCATCTAGTGTACATTTTTAAATAAACACAATTTTGGAGGTGCCTGGGTGGCTCAGTTAGTTAAGCACTTGACTTTGGCTCAGGTCATGATGTCAGAGTCAGTCTGTGGGTTCAAGTCCGGCATCGGGCTCTGTGCTGACAGTTCAGAGACTGGAGCCTGCTTCAGATTCTGTGTCTCCCTCTCTCTTTGCCCCTCCCCACTCTCACTCTGTCTCTTTCTCTCTCTCAAAAATAAACATTAAAAAAGAAACCCACAGGGGCGCCTGGGTGGCGCAGTCGGTTAAGCGTCCGACTTCAGCCAGGTCACGATCTCGCGCTCCGTGAGTTTGAGCCCCGCGTCGGGCTCTGGGCTGATGGCTCAGAGCCTGGAGCCTGTTTCCGATTCTGTGTCTCCCTCTCTCTCTCTGCCCCTCCCCCGTTCATGCTCTGTCTCTCTCTGTCCCAAAAATAAATAAACGTTGAAAAAAAAAATTAAAAAAAAAAAAAGAAACCCACAGTTAAAAATTTTTTAAATGTCTTTTCGTTAGACTACCTAAAATAAATAATCTTTGTACCCCTCCATGAGAATGATAATAGTGAGGAATATTCAAAATATTTTATAAGGACAGAACAGGTCAATGATGGAGGTACATAGAAAGTGTTACAGGAAATCACAGGAGATCACAGGAAGAAGGTGTCAAGGAGGCCTACTTATAAGATTTTGTATTTGAGGAGGCTTTAAAAATAACTAACTCTACGATATTTTTTTTAACACCACAGAACATGGAAAATGATAAGACTTGACAAAGCGTGGTGGTTGGTGAGTGCATAGATATTCCTATATCATTCTCTTTACCTCTCTGTATACTTGAAACATTTCACAATAACAATAATAAAGTGTGTTTGGGATTTGGAGAAGAGAAAAAGCATTCTACGTAGAAGAAAAATAAGAATGAGCACAGAATCCTGAAATTCAGGCTGGGTGGTCTGGTTCAAAGTGCTGGAAGACAAGGTTGGAACATTAAGATGCTACCAGATCATGCCAGACCCTGGTTAAATGGTCCTAAGAGTCTGTGGATGTGGGAAACCCCTAGAGGTTTCTGATGAACAATACATGATCAGAGTGGCAGATTAGGAATAGAACTCTGGGAGAAATTTGTACGACGGGGAGAGCCCAGATTTGGAAGAATGTTATAATAATGACTCAGATAAAAATATGGTGGTCTACCTAAGTTCCATAATATCCTGATGTGTTTCCTTATTCTGCCAGCTTGCGTTCTATTTTTATTAAGGAAAAAAAAATCTGGGCTCCTGGCTAGCTCAGTTGGTAGAGCATATGACTCCTAATCTCAGGGTCATGAGTTTGAGCCCCACATTGGGCGTGGAGCCTATGAAAGGAAAAAGAAAGGAAGAAAGAAAGAGGAAGGAAGGAATAAGGAAGGAAGGAAAGAAAGAAGGAATCTATTCATACCAGGCAGTCATACTTCCTCCTTCCTACCCCAGATCCTTTGTAGTCGAATCCAACTATATTGTAGACCAGGGTTGCGAAACTTTCTCTGTGAATGGTCAGACAGTAAATATTTTAGGCTTTGCAGGCCATATTGTCTCTGTTGTAATTACTTCGGCGTAGTGAGAAAAGCAGCCACAGACAATACATAATGAATGGGTTTGGCTATATTCCAATAAAACTTTATTTATAGAGACTGAAATTTAAATTTCAGAAAATTTTCATGTATCATGAAGTGTTTTTCTCAACATTTAAAAAATGTACAAACCATTCTTAGTTTTCGACTATATAAAAATTGGCTGCAGATTAGAGTAATGCAAAACAAAACCACGAGATGCCACTTCTCACCCCCTAGGTAGCTATTATAAAAAAGATACATAATAGCAATTCTTGGCAAAATTGGAACCCTCACACACTACTGGTAAAAATGTGAAATATCACAGCCGTCTTGGAAAGCAGTCTGGCAGTTCCTCAAATGGTTAAAGATAGAGTCACCATATGATCCGGCAATTCTACTTCTAGGTATATATACGCCGAAGAGAAATGAAAATATATATCATGCAAAATATTGTGTACAAATGTTCATGGCAGCATTATTCATAACCAAAATGTGGAAACATCCATATAGTAAATTATTTGGCAATAAAGAGAAATGAAGTATTGATGTGCTACAACATGGATGAATCCTGAAAACATGCTAAGTGGAAGAAACCAGGCATAAAAGACCAAATACTGTATGATTTCATTTACATGGAATGTCAGAATAGGCAAATATATAAAGACAAAAAGTAGATTAGTGATTAATTACAGTTAGGGGAGACAGGGGAAATGACTGCTTATGGGTATGGGATTGTTGGGGGTGTGATGAAAATGTTATAAAATTAATTGTGGCGATGGTAGCACAACTCAGAAAATATATTAAAAACCAATGAATTGTACACTTTAAAAGGGGGAACTGTATGGCACATGAATTATATCTCAATAAAGCTGTTAAAGAAAAAACGTTAACAGGCTCCAGGCTACTTGGTCCTGAATGTGGAATTTTGCCAATCTCTGCTACAGATACCAGATAAACTGGTTCCTTTCAGAAGCTTACTTCAGATTCAGCTACTTAAATCTGGAAAATTCAATTTAGAAGAGCAGGAGGATGACTAGTCAGATAGGCTTTTGTTGTTGGGGCTTGCTGGGGAGCAGATCTACATGTGTTATAGATGTGTGATACAAACAATGATGAACTCCCTTCGACTCAGTGGTTTGTAATTAAATCCGGGAGCTCAGTCCACATGCTCAGATATACCCAGACTCATGTTATTTCCAGTATCGGCGTCTTGTATAGACACCAGGCTGTGAAGACCTTCACTTGGTCCCAGCCAAGCTTCTCAGGGAAGCAATCATTTTGTCCATCTCTCTTCTCTTACTTAGACCAGCAGGCTAGTTAGCTGAAATTCTTCAACTTCCCATGGTTGAAAAACAAAACTTCATCTCATTACCTCTTTGGAGAGGTAATGTGAGGGGGTGATGAAAACATTTAATCTAAATGTTTCTTCTTCTTACTTAAAAAAAAAGTTTTTTTAAAGGGTACCTAGGGGCACCTGGTGGCTCAGTCAGTTAAGCTTCTGAGTCTTGGTTTAGGCTCAGGTCATGATCTCGCGGTTTGTGA